TGCTCAATGTCCACCACCCCAGTGCCAATCTCTCTGCGGACTTCCCTTCTTTTCTTCATCTTAGGTACATCACCAACCACTCAATGTCCACCACCCCTCTGCCAATACCCTGAGCTACCTCACCAACTGCTCAGTGTCCACCACCCCTCTCTGCCAATCCCCTCAATGGTTTCCCATCATCCTTACTCCATTACTAAATCACCAACCACTTGGTGTCCACCACCCCTGTCTTCCAATCCTTCCACTGTCTTCCCTCACCCTCTACCCCAAGCTATATCACCAACCACTGAGTGTCCACCACCCCTCTCTGCCAATCCCAAAAATCTCAAACAACCCAGTCGTGCGCTGGAGCGACTATGGCGCAAAACCAGATCCCAACTAGCGTTCACCCGATATAAATCCGCCTTCCTCACTTACACCTCCTCCCTCCATGTTGCCAAGCAAGCCTACTTTCTGACCCTCATCAATACCCTCTCCTCTAGTCCTTGCTGGCTCTTCTCTATTTTTAACTCCCTACTCTCTCTACTCTCCCCCCCCACCTCCACCCACACCTCACTCACCGCCCACGAGATTGCCAATCACTTCAAAAACAAGATCGACGCAATTCGTAGGGACACCGCCACTGGTCAGACGTCTATCCCTCACATGAAAACCCCCTCAACTCCCCTCTCCTTCGACCTCGCCACTGTCCAGACCCCTACCCCACCTAGCACTCCTCACACTAAAACCCCCTCAACACTCCACTCCTTCGACCTTGCTACCACTGAAGAGGTCACTAAGGTCTTCTCTGAAGCCCGCCTCACCTCCTGCCCCCTCGACCCTCACAACTCTTCCGAACACTCTCCCCCTCCATCCTACACTCCCTCACTCGCATCTTTAATCTCTCCCTCTGCTGGCGCCTTCCCCCTCCTCTAAAACATGCACACATCACCCCCATACTTAAAAAGCCCTCCCTGGACCCCACCGACCTGAACAACCTCAGACCCATCTCCCTGCTCCCATTTACTTCCAAACTCCTCGAGCGCTTAGTCTACGCCCGCCTATGCTCTCACCTCACCGACAACAACCTCCTCGATCCCCTACAGTCCGGCTTCCGCCCCCTACACTCCACCGAAACTGAATTACTCAAACTCTCCAACGACCTGCTAACCGCCAAAGCTAATGGCCACTATTCAGTGCTCCTACTCCTTGACCTCTCTGCGGCCTTCCACACAGTCCACCACCCCCTCCTCCTCAAAAAACTACACTCCCTCCCTCGGCCTCAGAGACTCCGCCCTCTCCTGGCTCTCATCCTACCTGTCACAACGCTCCTTCAGCGTTACCTATAATGCTACCACCTCCCCCTCACTCCCCCTCTCTGTTGGGGTCCCTCAAGGCTCCGTCTTCGGGCCCCTTCTCTTCTCCATCTACACCTCCTCCCTTGGCCAACTCATACACTCTCACGGCTTCAACTACCACCTCTATGCCAACGACACACAAATCTATCTCTCAACCCCCCACCTCACCCCCTCGGTCTCTGCCCCCCACCTCACCCCCTTGGTCTCTGCCCGAATCACACACCTACTGAGCGACATATCAGACTGGATGTCGCTCCACTTCCTAAAACTGAACCTCTCCAAAACCGAGCTCCTAGTTTTCCCCCCAGCCCGCGCCCCCCCCTCCTGACTTCTCCATCACGTCCAGCAATGCCACCATCAGTCCGACCGGCAGGCCAGAGTACTAGGTGTCCTCCTAGACTCCAACCTATCCTTCCAGTTGCATGTGCAATCGCTGACAAACTCATGTAGACTCCACCTCCGCAACATCTCCAAGATACGTTTGTTCCTAACCCCAGAAACCACTAAACAGCTCATCCACTCCCTCATCATATCACGACTTGACTACTGCAACTCCCTCCTCACTGGCTTACCTCACCGCAGGCTATCCCCGCTTCAGTCTATCCTGAATACGGCTGCCAGACTCATCCACCTTACCAACCGCTCCATCTCCGCCACCCCCCTCTGCCAATCCCTCCACTGGCTTCCGATTGCCTAAGAGGTCAAATTCGAAATCCTAACACTGACGTACAAAGCTGTTCATAACACTTCCCCAAACTACATCACCGATCTGATATCCAAATACCACCCTAAACGTACTCTCCGCTCCTCACAAGACCTCGTACTCTCTAGTTCCCTGGTCTCCTCCTCCCATGCCCATCTCCAGGACTTCTCCAGGGCTTCCCCCATCCTCTGGAACTCCCTACCCCAATCCATCAGATATCACCTACCCTCCTCTCCTTTAGACGCACCCTGAAAACCCATCTCTTCAGGGAAGCCTACCCCACCCCCTGCTAACTTGCCGACCTCCTCCACTCTTCCTACCACTCCATCCCCCACAGCTATCTCCTCCTGTGCCACCATCCCCCCCCCTCCTAGATTGTAAGCTCCAAGGAGCAGGGCCCTCGATCCCCTCATGTATTGTATTACTTTGTTACTGTACTGTCGCATGTTCTGTCTCCCATTGTAATGTACAGCGCTGAGCAAACCGTTGCCGCTATATAAATACTGTATAATAATAATAATAATCTCTCCACTGGCTTCCCTTCGCAAGCTGCATCACCAACCTATAAGTGTCCACTACCCCTCTCTGCCAATCCCTCCACTGGCTTCCCTTCACCTCTGCTCCAAGCTGCATCACCAACCACTCAATGTCCACCACCCCTCTGCCAATACCCTGAGCTACCTCACCAACTGCTCAGTGTCCACCACCCCTCTCTGCCAATCCCCCCCAATGGTTTCCCATCATCTTTACTCCATTACTAAATCACCAACCACTTGGTGTCCACCACCCCTCTCTTCCAATCCTTCCACTGTCTTCCCTCACCCTCTACCCCGAGCTATATCACCAACCATTGAGTATCCACCACCTCTCTCTGCCAATCCACATGATGTATTTGGGTGCTGTGATGAGGGCACCTGATGTAAGGGGACACTGTTGGGGACACCTGAAGTACGGTGGGCGTTGTAATGGGGAACCTGATGTATATGGGCACTGTGATGGGGAACCTGATGTATATGGGCACTGTGATGGGGGAACCTGATGTATATGGGTGCTGTGATGAGGACACCTGATGTAAGGGGGCACTGTAATGGGGGCACCTGATGTATATGGGGCTGTGATGAGGATACCTGATGTAAGGGGCACTCTGATGAGGACACTGTGATGGGGACACCTGATGTAAGGGGGCACTCTGATAGGGACACCTGATGTAAGGGGGCACTATGATGAGGACACCTGATGTATGGGGGCACTGTGATGGGGACACCTGATGTATATGGGTGCTGTGATGGGGACACCTGATGTAAGAGGGCACTGTGATGGGGTCACCTGATGTAAGAGGGCACTGTGATGGGTACACCTGATGTATGGGAGCACTGTGATGACACCTGATGTAAGAGGGCACTGTGATGGGGACACCTGATGTAAGAGGGCACTGTGATGGGGACACCTGATGTAAGAGGGCACTGTGATGACACCTGATGTATGGGAGCACTGTGATGACACCTGATGTAAGAGGGCACTGTGATGGGGACACCTGATGTAAGAGGGCACTGTGATGGGTACACCGATGTATGGGAGCACTGTGATGACACCTGATGTAAGAGGGCACTGTGATGGGGACACCTGATGTAAGAGGGCACTGTGATGGGGACACCTGATGTAAGAGGGCACTGTGATTTAGGGACACCTGATGTAAGAGGGCACTGTGATGGGGACACCTGATTAAGAGGGCACTGTGATGGGGACACCTGATGTAAGAGGGCACTGTGATGGGGACACCTGATGTATATGGGCACTGTGATGACACCTGATGTAAGGGGGCACTGTGATGACACCTGATGTAAGGGGGCACTGTGATGGGGACACCTGATGTAAGAGGGCACTGTGATGGGGACACCTGATGTAAGAGGGCACTGTGATGGGGACACCTGATGTAAGAGGGCACTGTGATGGGGACACCTGATGTAAGAGGGCACTGTGATGGGGACACCTGATGTATATGGGCACTGTGATGACACCTGATGTAAGGGGGCACTGTGATGACACCTGATGTAAGGGGGCACTGTGATGACACTGATGTAAGGGGGCACTGTGATGACGCCTGATGTAAGGAGGCACTGTGATGGGGACACTTGATGTAAGGAGGCACTGTGATGGGGACACCTGATGTAAGGGGGCACTGTAATGGCACCTGATGTATGGGGGCACTGTGATGGGGACACTGATGTAAGGGGGCACTGTGATGGAGACACTTGATGTAAGGGGGCACTGTGATGGGGACACCTGATGTAAGGGGGCACTGTGATGGGGACACCTGATGTAAGGGTGCACTGTGATGGGGACACCTGATGTAAGGGATGGCACCTGGGGCACTGTGATGGGGACACCTGATGTAAGGGGGCGCTGTAATGGTACCTGATGTATGAGGGCACTGTGATGGGGACACTGATGTAAGGGGACTCCTGATGTAAGGGGGCACTGTGCTGGGGATAAATGAGGAAGCCTTCTAGGGGCTCCAGTGTATTACTTTTCTGAGGGGCACTGCTTGCTGAATGATCTCATGTAAACCTCCCAGGTGCAGGATTCTCCGCCCTATGCTGTATTTCCATCCTCCAGCCCCCATGACACTACAGGACGCAGCAGTCATTTAGGGACTGGTTTTGGACTGTCATTTTTCAGCCCTCAGAACAGGCAGTAGAAAGGACAACTTCTATGGGGAGGCCTAACTGCCTGATCCTGGACTGACATTTGTGCTTGGGTACGGCGAGAATACAACCAAATACCAGGATGCACAGCTGTCTCCCAGAGCCTGCACTATTATACCACCAGGGTGCAGATGTGGATTCCTAGCCATGCCCAGAGGTGACTGGTCCTCTTTAAGCTGATCTAGAAAAGGAAAATCTCGATTTGTGTGCAGTGATTGTCTAAACTCTTCATTGGTCTTCTCATTGCAGGAAAACTGGAAAGTGAGCATCTCTTTTGTGGTTGAGAACCAGCAGGAGGATGAAGTGCACACACGGGCCCTATCGCAAGCCGTTTTGGCCCCCCAGCGCAGACTCTTCAGCCTGGTGTCCTGGGACAAGGTTCTGCAGCAGGTATGGCCTTTCCACACACATGACCTTTAATGGCCCCCCCCTTTCCAGTCTTAGTCCGTAGGGTTCAATATTGAGTTGGCCCCGCCCTTTCCACACACATGACCTTTAATGCCCCCCCAGTCTTAGTCCGTAGGGTTCAATATTGAGTTGGCCCCGCCCTTTCCACACACATGACCTTTAATGACCCCCCAGTCTTAGTCCGTAGGGTTCAATATTGAGTTGGCCCCGCCCTTTCCACGCACATGACCTTTAATGCCCCCCCAGTCTTAGTCCGTAGGGTTCAATATTGAGTTGGCCCCGCCCTTTCCCCCCACACACGACCTTTAATGGCCCCCCCAGTCTTAGTCCGTAGGGTTCAATATTGAGTTGGCCCCGCCCTTTGCAGCTATAACAGCTTCAACTCTTCTGGGAAGGCCGTCCACAAGGTTTAGGAGGGTGTCTATGGGAAGGTTGGACCATTCTTCCAGAAGCACATTTGTCAGGTCAGGCACTGATGTCGGGGGAGGAGGCCTGGCTCGCAGTCTCCGCTCTAATTCATCCCAAAGGTGTTCTATGGGGTTGAGGTCAGGACTCTGTGCAGGCCAGTCAAGTTCCTCCACCCCAAACTGGCTCCTCCATGTCTTCATGGACCTTGCTTTGTACACTGGGGGGCAGTCATGTTGGAACAGGAAGGGGCCATCCCCAAACTCTTCCCACAAAGTTGGGATCATGAAATTGTCCAAAATGTCTCCTTAAGAGTTCCCTTCACTGGAACTAGGGGGCCAAGCCCAACCCCTGAGGAACAACCCCACACCATAATCCCCCCTCCACCAAACTTTACACTTGGCACAATGCAGTCAGGCAAGTACCGTTCTCCTGGCAACTGCCAAACCCAGACATGTCTATCGGATTGCCAGACAGAGAAGCGTGATTGGTCACTCCAGAGAACACGTCTCCCGTGCTCTAGAGTCCAGTGGCGGCGTGCTTTACACCACGGCATCCGACGCTTTGCATTGCACTTGGTGATGGAAGGCTTGGATGCAACTGCTCGGCCATGGAAACCCATTCCATGAAGTTCTCTACGCTCTGTTGTTGGGCTCATCTGAAGGCCACACCAAGTTTGGAGGTCTTTAGCTATTGACTCTGCAGACAGTAGGCTCTAGGTGGGTGAGGCGGTCAGAGAGTTTTGGGAGAGACCATTCTGCAGGATTCTAGAACCTTATCCCATTCATCGTCCTCCAGCTCCCCCACATCCTCCACCCTTCGGGTTTTCAACTAAATCAGCTGCTGCCGGTAGGAAAAGGAAGATATAAAAAGTGGACATCGACTTTTTAGGGTCAGTACCCAAAAATGCATCTAATAGGTAGAGAGAGTCAAGAAACTCTGGGACTGAATCCCCAGCTGGAGGTAACGAAAGAACATGGAGTTGGGCAAATTCAAATTCAGACTTGCGATCTCAAAAACACGCCTTGCTTATGCCCGCAGGGCCGTCTGCGGCGCAATCTGTCACCGGCCGATGACAGATGACCGACACGGCTGATGACCGACACGGCCGATGACAGATTTGTGTACCGCCCCCATTTCCAGTACCATGTGCCCTGCTGTGACCAATCACAGCAGGTCACATGACAGTTGTATACAATGGATGGCTTCCTTTCATGCCATCCATTGTATACAAGCATGTCTAGCTGTGAATGGTCACAGGGATCACATGCACAAGCTGGGCCAATCACAGTCCAGCTGTGTCATGTGATTAGCCGTGACCAATCACAGCTAAGCACAAAAAAAAAAAAAAACCTGAATGAATCGATTTCACTCAAACGCTTGCTTATAGCAAAGAAATTCTTTGCTATAAGAAATCAAATTATGTAGAAAAAAAAAATACTGATCACTTCCCCAAAGTATTACAATGTTACTATGGTAACATTATACTGCTTTGGTTGTTGTGAAATGTGAAAATAAATCTTAAAAAGAGAAAAAAATGTAATTAAAAAAATAAATCAATAAAATTGAAAAAAAATTATACATTTTTTTTTTCCATACTGTCACCAGTCAGTGTCCCTGATCACCGCCATGCCAGTTATATGATGACGCTGTACTGCACTGGTGACAGGATGTAAAAAAAAAATAGTGAAAATAATTTTTTTATTTTCTTAATTTTCCAAAAAATTATGACTAAAAAATGACTTAAAAAAACTCTCCATGCCTCTTATGAAGTACGTCGGACCGTCTACTCTGCAAAAAGGGGACATTTGGGGGATATCTGTACTGTCCTGACATTTGGGGGATATCTGTACCGTCCTGACATTTGGGGGATATCTGTACCGTCCTGACATTTGGGGGATATCTGTACCGTCCTGACATTTGGGGGATATCTGTACCGTCCTGACATTTGGGGATATCTGTACCGTCCTGACATTTGGGGGATATCTGTACTGTCCTGACATTTGGGGGATATCTGTACTGTCCTGACATTTGGGGGATATCTGTACCGTCCTGACATTTGGGGGATATCTGTACCGTCCTGACATTTGGGGGGATATCTGTACTGTCCTGACATTTGGGGGATATCTGTACCGTTCTGACATTTGGGGGATATCTGTACCGTCCTGACATTTGGGGGATATCTGTACTGTCCTGACATTTGGGGGATATCTGTACCGTCCTGACATTTGGGGGATATCTGTACCGTCCTGACATTTGGGGGATATCTGTACCGTCCTGACATTTGGGGGATATCTGTACCATCCTGACATTTGGGGGATATCTGTACCGTCCTGACATTTGGGGGGATATCTGTACCGTCCTGACATTTGGGGGGATATCTGTACCGTCCTGACATTTGGGGGATATCTGTACTGTTCTGACATTTGGGGGATATCTGTACCGTCCTGACATTTGGGGGATATCTGTACTGTTCTGACATTTGGGGGATATCTGTACCGTCCTGACATTTGGGGGATATCTGTACCGTCCTGACATTTGGGGGATATCTGTACCGTCCTGACATTTGGGGGATATCTGTACCGTCCTGACATTTGGGGGATATCTGTACCGTCCTGACATTTGGGGGATATCTGTACTGTCCTGACATTTGGGGGATATCTGTACTGTCCTGACATTTGGGGGGATATCTGTACTGTCCTGACATTTGGGGGATATCTGTCCTGTCCTGACATTTGGGGGATATCTGTCCTGTCCTGACATTTGGGGGATATCTGTACCGTCCTGACATTTGGGGGATATCTGTACTGTCCTGACATTTGGGGGGGATATCTGTACTGTCCTGACATTTGGGGGATATCTGTACCGTCCTGACATTTGGGGGATATCTGTACTCTTCTGACATTTGGGGGGGATATCTGTACTCTTCTGACATTTGGGGGATATCTGTACTGTCCTGACATTTGGGGGATATCTGTACCGTCCTGACATTTGGGGGATATCTGTACCGTCCTGACATTTGGGGGATATCTGTACCGTCCTGACATTTGGGGGATATCTGTACCGTCCTGACATTTGGGGGATATCTGTACTGTCCTGACATTTGGGGGATATCTGTCCTGTCCTGACATTTGGGGGATATCTGTCCTGTCCTGACATTTGGGGGGATATCTGTCCTGTCCTGACATTTGGGGGGATATCTGTACTGTCCTGACATTTGGGGGGATATCTGTCCTGTCCTGACATTTGGGGGATATCTGTACCGTCCTGACATTTGGGGGATATCTGTACAGTCAAGCTCTAGTGGTGTGAAAAAATGCTAAAATTTTAGCTTGGGTACAGCGTCACATGACCGCGCAATTGTCATTCAAAGTGCGACAGCGCTGAAACCTTAAAATTGGCCTGAGCAGGAAGGGGGTAAAAGTGCCCGGTCGGTCGGAAAAGTGGTTAATGACACCTAAATAAATGGTGTCACATCATAAGTAACAATAGACATGACGGTGTGTGGCTTCGGCCTAGAATCATAGATTTGGTACTTGGTTGATATTACGACACCGAAAAGGACGGTGTCACATCGTAGGTGTCAGTAAACATATTGGTGCGTAGCTTCTGCTTCGCACCACGAAGGAGCGCTTTGTTGGTACGTTTCCGACACGTTTCACGGGACAATGAGCGCTTCTTCAGGGAAAACAAAACATGAATTCTTACAATAAAGCAAAAATAGAACCAAGAGCATATAATCAATATATAACCGTACAAATAATTCCACAAAAAAACGAAATAAAAGACTTAACAGCAATTGGTAGTTGAGGACGCTAGCACCTCCCCCAGGTGGCCCGTACAAGGTGTACGCTAGCACCACCCCCAGGTGACCCTACAAGGTGTACGCTAGCACCACCCCCAGGTGACCCTACAAGGTGTACGCTAGCACCACCCCCAGGTGACCCGTACAAGGTGTACGCTAGCACCACCCCCAGATGGCCCGTACAAGGTGTACGCTAGCACCACCCCCAGATGGCCCGTACAAGGTGTACCCTAGCACCACCCCCAGGTGGCCCGTACAAGGTGTACGCTAGCACCTCCCCCAGGTGGCCCGTACAAGGTGTACGCTAGCACCTCCCCCAGGTGGCCCGTACAAGGTGTATAGGGCATGTCGATCGTATCTGGATCACCGTATCACCGTCCTGACATTTGGGGGATATCTGTACCGTCCTGACATTTGGGGGATATCTGTACCGTCCTGACATTTGGGGGATATCTGTACCGTCCTGACATTTGGGGGATATCTGTACTGTCCTGACATTTGGGGGGATATCTGTCCTGTCCTGACATTTGGGGGATATCTGTACCGTCCTGACATTTGGGGATATCTGTACCGTCCTGACATTTGGGGGATATCTGTACTGTCCTGACATTTGGGGGATATCTGTACCGTCCTGACATTTGGGGGATATCTGTACCGTCCTGACATTTGGGGGATATCTGTACCGTCCTGACATTTGGGGGATATCTGTACCGTCCTGACATTTGGGGGATATCTGTACCGTCCTGACATTTGGGGGGATATCTGTACTGTCCTGACATTTGGGGGGATATCTGTACCGTCCTGACATTTGGGGGATATCTGTACTGTTCTGACATTTGGGGGATATCTGTACCGTCCTGACATTTGGGGGATATCTGTCCTGTCCTGACATTTGGGGGATATCTGTACTGTCCTGACATTTGGGGGGATATCTGTACTGTCCTGACATTTGGGGGATATCTGTCCTGTCCTGACATTTGGGGGATATCTGTACCGTCCTGACATTTGGGGGATATCTGTACAGTCAAGCTCTAGTGGTGTGAAAAAATGCTAAAATTTTAGCTTGGGTACAGCGTCACATGACCGCGCAATTGTCATTCAAAGTGCGACAGCGCTGAAACCTTAAAATTGGCCTGAGCAGGAAGGGGGTAAAAGTGCCCGGTCGGTGGTACGCTAGCACCTCCCCCAGGTGGCCCGTACAAGGTGTACGCTAGCACCTCCCCCAGGTGGCCCGTACAAGGTGTACGCTAGCACCACCCCCAGGTGACCCGTACAAGGTGTATGCTAGCACCTCCCCCAGGTGGCCCGTACAAGGTGTACGCTAGCACCACCCCCAGGTGACCCGTACAAGGTGTACCCTAGCACCACCCCCAGGTGGCACGTACAAGGTGTACGCTAGCACCTCCCCCAGGTGGCCCGTACAAGGTGTACGCTAGCACCTCCCCCAGGTGGCCCGTACAAGGTGTACGCTAGCACCTCCCCCAGGTGGCCCGTACAAGGTGTACGCTAGCACCTCCCCCAGGTGGCCCGTACAAGGTGTATGCTAGCACCTCCCCCAGGTGGCCCGTACAAGGTGTACGCTAGCACCTCCCCCAGGTGGCCCGTACAAGGTGTACGCTAGCACCACCCCCAGGTGACCCGTACAAGGTGTACGCTAGCACCACCCCCAGGTGACCCGTACAAGGTGTATGCTAGCACCTCCCCCAGGTGGCCCGTACAAGGTGTATAGGGCATGTCGATCGTATCTGGATGGGGAAAAAAAGGGGCCTCCAGCAACTCATGAGGAATGATCGTCGATCAAGAGAAGATCTAAATCGACTTGTAAACAGCAGAACCGTCATTCTAGGGAATTACAAAATACATTGGTCAAAAATAACCCCCCCCCCCCCCCCCACCACATTGATCCACAACTCATGTTCAGGTATAGCAAGCGGCTCCGTCAAACATGAATTACCCCAAGTGGGGGGGGGGGGGGGGGGGGGGAGTGTAGGAGCATGCGTGTTTTTGTCCTAAGAGCCAGTTCCTAAATCTTACAATGGCGGTGAACCTGCCCCCTGCGGTTACACAGGGGGTGCAGACTTGGAAAAAGGGGGGCATTTCATTGGTCTACTCGTTGCCATGTTTTGTGTTATGATTGGACCATTCTGGTATCACCTCCAGTTACAGAATGTGAATCCCATAGGAAATACGAGAAATGGGTTTTGCCGGCTCACCCGTGTTTTCTTTATAAACGAGGGCAGCACGGTGTATCATTGGAGAGCACTGTGTATCATTGGGCAGCGCGGTGTATCATTGGGGCAGCGCGGTGTATCATTGGGCAGCACAGTGTATCATTGGGGCAGCGCGGTGTAATATTGGGGCAGCTCGGTGTATCATTGGGCCAGCGCAGTGTATCATTGGGGCAGCGCGGTGTATCATTGGGGCAGCGCGGTGTATCATTGGGGCAGCTCGGTGTATTATTGGGCAGCGCGGTGTATCATTGGGCAGCGCGGTGTATCATTGGGGCAGCGCGGTGTATCATTGGGGCAGCTCGGTGTATCATTGGGGCAGCGCGGTGTATCATTGGGGCAGCGCGGTGTATCATTGGGCAGCGCGGTGTATCATTGGGGCAGCGCGGTGTATCATTGGGCAGCGCGGTGTATCATTGGGCAGCGCGGTGTATCATTGGGGCAGCGCGGTGTATCATTGGGGCAGCTCGGTGTATCATTGGGCAGCGCGGTGTATCATTGGGGCAGCGCGGTGTATCATTGGGGCAGCGCGGTGTATCATTGGGGCAGCTCGGTGTATCATTGGGCAGCGCGGTGTATCATTGGGGCAGCGCGGTGTATCATTGGGGCAGCGCGGTGTATCATTGGGCAGCGCGGTGTATCATTGGGCAGCTCGGTGTATCATTGGGCAGCGGTGTATCATTGGGCAGCTCGATGCATCATTGGGCAGTGTATCATTGGGCAGCGCGGTGTATCATTGGGCAGCGCGGTGTATCATTGGGCAGCTCGGTGTATCATTGGGCAGCACTGGTGTATCATTGGGCAGCGCGGTGTATCATTGGGCAGCGCGGTGTATCATTGGGCAGCGCGGTGTATCATTGGGCAGCGCGGTGTATCATTGGGCAGCGCGGTGTATCATTGGACAGCGCGGTGTATCATTGGGCAGCGCGGTGTATCATTGGGCAGCGCGGTGTATCATTGGGCAGCGCGGTGTATCATTGGGCATCGTGGTGTATCATTGGACAGCGTGGACAGCACTGTGTATCATTGGACAGCACTGTGTATCATTGGGCAGCGCGGTGTATCATTGGGCAGCGCGTGGGCAGCGTGGTGTATCATTGGACAGCAGCGCGTGTATCATTGGGCAGCGCGGTGTATCATTGGGCAGCGCGGTGTATCATTGGACAGCACTGTGTATCATTGGGCAGCGCGGTGTATCATTGGACAGCACTGTGTATCATTGGGCAGCGCGGTGTATCATTGGGCAGCGCGGTGTATCATTGGACAGCGCGGTGTATCATTGGACAGCGCGGTGTATCATTGGGCAGCGCGGTGTATCATTGGGCAGCGTGGTGTATCATTGGGCAGCGCGGTGTATCATTGGGCAGCACAGTGGCTAAACGGTTAGCCCTTCCACCTGCCAGGACTAGGGTTGCTGCTTTGAATCCCAACTATGGCACCACCTGCCTGGAGTTTGCAAGTTCTCCCTGTGCCTGTATGGGTTTCCTCTGGGTACTCCAGTTTCCTCCTACACTCTCCAAACCCTCTCTAAAGTTCTCACTAGGGTTGCACCGATACCAATACCAGTATGGCGGCACGGTGGCTACGTGGTTAGCACTTCTGCCTAGGAGCACTAGGGTCGTCGGTTCGAACCCCAACCATGACTTTGCATGCTTGGAGTTTGCATGGGTTTCCTCCGGCTACTCCTCCCACACTCCAAAGACATGCTGGTAGGTGAATTGGCTCCTGTGTAAATTGTATAGTATGTATATGTATGAATGTGAGTTAATGACCTTAGATTGTACGCTCCTCGGGGGCGGGGACTGATGTGACTGTACAATATATATGTAAAAGCACAAGCTGTCTATGTGTTTCATTGTTGCATTTTCCGTCTTGTAAAGTCACTTTTAGAAGGACTGTCCCTTTAACCCCGGCTTTATTTATTGATCATATAGGTCCACGAGCTGGGCAACCCCAAGATCAAGAAATCCAAGGACGCCGCCCCCCCCGTATCACGAGGTAAGTGACGGCGCTTCGCCCCGCCTGCCAATCACAGAGCGAAAAGTCTGAGCGTGACGCAACGAACTCCTAAAACTCACAAACCCTCCATTACCAATCCCGGAGCCCGGGGCCTGCAAATCGCTCCGGAATATTGTGTTTTCACCCGTAAATGTTAATGCATCTGAGTTTGTAGCCAATATATATAAAAAATACGGCTTTTTCTCTGCGGTCAGGGGGGGCGGGGGGCGGGGGGGGGGCGCTGGAACAATCCCCCCCAGGACTCATTTAACACATACTCGATTGTTAAGTTTATGGGTTTAACTCCGCGTCTCCCGGACAGATCTCTGCACAAGCCGGGCTCTACTGGTTATTTATGGGCTTGCGATTTGGGGGGAAAAAGGAAGAAAAAAAGAGAAAAAAAAAGAGAACAAAAAAAGGAAGAAATAATGAGAAAAAAAGAGAACAAAACAAGAAAAAGAGAGAAAAAAAAGCAAAAAAAAAAAAAAAAAAAAAAAAGGAGGTGTGTGCGTTAGACTGTTCTCCATCAAAGGGGGGTAATTGGCTCAGGCAAAGCTCTGCAGGATGCTGATCTAATTACAGCAGCTACCGGGCCGGCGTGGCGGAAGACTGGCGGGAGCGCGGACGCGACTTGTGCGCTTTTTGTCATTTTCGTCAATGCTGCTCTTAGATATTCGGCCCCGATTTACATATCGTGTATAATGACCGTTTGGCGTTTTTACAGGAATTCCCCGTATGGGATAAAATAGAGCCAATCACCCTGACTGCGTTTACGTTTATTCTGCGCAAATGCCAGCAAAACCGAAGGTTGCCATCTACATGGAAGAAAAATATATTTGAAAAGCTACAATTTTGGCCGTATTATATATATATATATATATATAGAGAGAGAGAGAGAGAGGGAGCTATATATATCTATATATAAAAAAAAAATATATATACTTAAACAATAAATATAAATAAAACTAATATATATATATATGAAATAAATATATACATATAATATTTATTGTTTAAATATATATATATTTATTGTATATATATATGTGTGTGTGTATATATATATATATATATATATATATATATATATAATATATATATATATAGTTTTTTTTTTTTTAGATTTATTAAGTAAATATATATATATGTGTATTTATTTATTTTATATATATATATATATATATATATATATATATAAATAAAATATATATATATTTTTTCTATATATATATATATTTTTTTTTCTATATATATATTTATTTTTTATATATATCTATATATATATATATATATATATATATATATATAGAGATCTATATATATATGCTGAAATGTGTTTTTATTACAAAATATATGAGAAATATTTTTTAAAAATACATTTCAAATATACTGTACGTCTTTAAAAATACAAATTATTTATTTTTTTATTATTTTTTAATTTATTTAAGGTACTTATGTAGCGCCATCAATTTACACAGCGCCTATATATATATATATTGTACATTCACATTAGTCCCCGCCCCCGAGGAGCGTACAATCTAAGGTCCCTAACTCACATTCATACATACACATATTAGGGACGATTTAGACAGGAGCCAATCCACCTACCAGCATGTCTTTGGAGTGTGGGAGGAAACCGGGGTACCTGGAGGAAACCCACGCAGGCACAGGGAGAACATGCAGACTCCAGGCAGGTGGTGCCGTGGTTGGGATTTGAACCCATGACCCGAGTATTGCCAGGCGGAAGTGCTAACCATTTAGCCACTGTAGCCATGTTTGGAATGCATTTACAAATATATGTAAAAATTATATGTTAAAAAAAAAATCTGAAGAATATATTTAAAAAAAAAAAATGTAATATATATTTTTTTAAATATATTATTCAGATTTTTTTCACATATAAAAAAAATTATTTTAATATATTTTTAAATTTATTTGTAATTGCATTCCAAAAATGTAGATTTATCAGCACCCCCCCTTATATCAGGGTCCCCATCAGAGTCCCCCCTTACATCAGGGGCCCATCAGAGCCCCCCTCCCTTTTCATCAGGGTCCCCATCAGAGTCCCCCTTACATCAGGGTCCCCATCAGAGAGTCCCCCCTTACATCAGGGTCCCCATCAGGCAGAGTCCCCCCAGTGACTACAATCAGGGGGTGGTGAGTCCCGTCATCAGAGTCCATTCCCCTTACATCAGGGGGTCCCCATCAGAGTCCCCCCTGGTACATTAGTGTCTGGGGTCCTCAGTGAGGTCCTGAGTGGAGCTCCTGAAAACAGTGAACCGAACAAATGGGGTATCTTCTGGCATCCTGAGTATGGGGCTCCTGGTGTCAGAGGTCTCAGTGAGGTTCCTGGTGTTAGTGACTCAATCCTGGTGGGGGTTCTATGGGACCCGGTGTCATGGGATTCGGTGTCATGGGGTTAGTAGTTCCCGAGTGAGACATTCATTCCTGTTCAGTGGGATTCCTGGTGTCAGTGGGGCTTCCTGGTGTCAGTGGGGTTCCTGGTGTCAGTCATCAGTGGAGCTCCTGGTGTCAGTGGGGCTCCTGGTGTCAGTGGAGCTCCTGGTGTCAGTGGAGGTTCCTGGTGTCAGTGAGGTTCCTGGTGTCAGTGGGAGGTGTCAGTGGGATTCCTGGTGTCAGTGAGGTTCCTGGTGTCAGTGAGGTTCCTGGTGTCAGTGGGATTCCTGGTGTCAGTGAGGTTCCTGGTGTCAGTGGGATTCCTGGTGTCAGTGAGGTTCCTGGTGTCAGTGAGGTTCCTGGTGTCAGTGGAGCTCCTGGTGTCAGTGGGGTTCCTGGTGTCAGTGAGGTTCCTGGTGTCAGTGGGATTCGCCGCCGACAGCTGAATGGAGAAAGAATTGTCGGCATTTCCTGACGAGTAAAACAACTCTTTAAAAACGGCGTGGGGTCCCCCCTCCCATCCATACGAAGCCTTGGGGTCCCATCATAGTACCCCCCACATCAATGTTCGCATCAGAGTCCCTTCTTATATCAGAGTCCTCATCAGAGTCCCCCCCCCCCTTACATCAGTGTCTCCATCAGAGTCTCTTTTATGTCAGCATCCCCCATTACCTCAGGGCACCCATCTGAGTCCCCCTACCATCATGGTCCCATCAGGGTCTCCCTTACATCAGAATCCCCATCATAGCCCCCCACATCAGGGTCTCCGACAGAATCTCCCCTTATATTGGTGTCACCAACAGAGCCCCCCCCCCCTTACATCAGAGTCCCCATCAGAGTCCCTCTTTACATAAGGATCCCTCAATCAGAGCCCCCTTACATCAGAGTCTTCTTTATATCAGAGTCCCCCTACCATCATTTTCCCATCAGAGTCTCCCTTACATTAGAATCCCCATCATAGCCCCCCACACCAGGGTCCCCAACATAAACTCCCCTTATATTGGTGTCACCATCAGAATCCCCCCCTTACATCAGCATCCTCATCAGAGTCCCTCCTTACATAAGGGTCCCTCTATCAGAGTCCCCCCCTTACCACTGTAAGCATGGTCATAGCAGCAGGGCAGGAGCTGGGAGGCGGAGCAGATTGGGAAGGAGGAAAGTTCAGTTAAAGCACATCATCGGTTGCTAGGATGCCGGCTGTCCTAGCAACCATGGGTGGGGAAGGTGACAGGAGCAGAGGGGAACCAAAGCCAAAACCACCAGCCCCCCCATCCACCTCTGGAGGACCTTGGGCCGGGAATGGTCGCACTTTACACAGAGAGGCGGAGCTGGAATTGCGGCACGTTTACGCCTCGCGGTTTACAAAACGCGATCCCGCCGAGCCGTAAACACCAAAACGCCATCGTCCCGTAATCTCGCTCTGCGCCGTTTCCACAGAATCAGCTGCATCGCCGCCATAAACGGATTTTCAGACGCGTTTATAGTCGTGCCAGAAATGTGCGTTTTATTAGAGGTTTTGTGTGCCGCCGCCGGCTGTTTTCATGTTTTATTCGTTTTTTTGTACATTTTATTTTTATCCTCGATGGAGGCGGCTCAGGGAAGCCTTAAAGGGGCGGCGGCGCGCAGAACTGTCTCTGTCTGTTGATCCTGCCACTAGATCTGCTGTTACTTCCTGTATGAGGGTGACAACGCTGTCTGTTCTGCAGTGATGACTCTGCAGCGTTGTCACCCCGAGGATAAGAGTCGTCTTAGATGGACATTTAAAGGAAGATTCCGGCTTTTCTATAAAAATGTTTGTATTTCAGCCTGAGGAGCATTGCAGCCGTGATCGTCGCACAGGCCCTGCAGACTATTGCTCCAGCCGAGGTACTGACTTGTAGTTACGGGGATGGAGGGAGTGTCCATTGGCTGGAGGTGCAAGGATGGCTGGTCATGCTGAGCCCAACTGCTACCGCCCCCCCCCCCCCCCCCGTGAGCATGAAGGATGGGAAATCATCTCAGTATAACAAATATTAATATGTATCATTTGTGTGAGATCCTTCACTGACAGCACTGCTGCGAGACAACACCGGGCTGTGGTTGTTTAAAATGTAACAACTTGCTGACACGCCCCTCCCCCTGGCTGACATGCCCCTCCCCCCCTGACTAACATGCCCCTACCCCTGTCTGGCATGCCCCTACCCCTGTCTGGCATGCCCCTCCCCCTGTCTGGCATGTCCCCTCCCCCTGACTGACATGCCCCTTCTTATGGATGACGCCCCCTCCCCCTTGCTGACACATTTCCTCCCCCTGGCTGACACACCCCTCCCCCTGGCATGCCCCCTCCCCTAGCTGACACACCCCTCCCCCTGGCATGCCCCCTCCCCTAGCTGACACACCCCTCCCCCTGGCTGACACACCCCCCCCTACCCCTGGCTGACACACCCCCTCCTCCTGGCTGATACACCCCCTCCCCCTGGCTGAGATGTCCCCTCCCCCTGACTGAAACACTTCCTCCCCCTGGCTGACACACCCCTCCCCCTGGCTGGCATGCCCTCTTTCCCTAGCTGGCACACCCCCTACCCCCGGCTGACACACCCCCTACCCCTGGCTGACACACCCCA